CTCCACTATCCCTCCTCTCCCTGCTCCTCGCACCATTCCCTACCAGGTCCCATCCCCGCCTTCTGCCAGGCCCAGCAGCAACTCACCTTCCTCAATCTCGCCTCCAACGCCCTCTCCGGCCCGCCCACCCCACTCTCCTTCCCCTCCTGCTCCGCCTCCCTTGCCCTCCTCTTCCTCTCCTCCAACCGCCTCTCCGGCTCCATCCCCGCTACAATCAGCTCCTTTACCCGCCTCAAGCGCCTTCTCCTAGACAAGAACACCCTTGCAGGATCAATCCCAGCTGGCGTGAGCAAACTGCAGAGATTACAGGGACTTGGGTTGTCATACAACAGGCTATCGGGAACAATTCCCGCGGTGTGGCCGGCAGGCGTACGGAACGTGCTGCTGGCAGGGAATCGGCTGTCAGGGGCTGTTCCGGCTGCTCTGAGCAAGCTAAAGAGAGGCTCTTTTAAGCCAGGGAACCCCAACCTGTGTGGGAAACCGCTGCCTGCCTGTAAATAGACATAAGGTCATTCTTGCTTGTGCTTGTAAAGTAATGCAATCAAATGCAATCACCCCTGTTGGAATGGTCACTTATCAGTCAGTGTAGCAGTGCTAAGAGGCTCGTTCAAAACAGGGAGCGAACCCAAACCTTTGTGGGAAACCACAGCCTGCATGTGCATGGAGCCATTTCACCAAGACACCAGTTGGGAATCGGCTGTCAGGGGCTGTTCCGGTTGCTCTGAGCAAGCTGAAGAGAGGAGAGGATCTATAAAGCAAGGGAACCCCAACTTGTGTGGTACCCTGCTGCTTGTTTGTGCATAGAATGTACAACCATCCGTGCTTGTGCTTGTAAGTCAGTCAGTCACCCCTGTTTGAATGGTCACTTTATGTGAGCAAGTTCAAGATAGGTCACAGGCAGCACGGCACGTGCTGCTGTTACAGGCACCTTCTTCCCTGTGAGGCAGTGTGGCACGTGCTGCTGGCAGGGAACCCGGCTGCTGCACCACAATTCCAGATGCCTGCACAAAAGATCCATTGAAAACCCTCTGGATTGCCCTGGTAGATTGCATGGAGGGGGGAACGAATTGTGCTTGATATACCGTTCTACTACGTTAGAGATCATGCGTACACATGGGTTGGATCTGTCTCATCGTTCCGTCAGATGCCCAGGGGATTTTCGGCAACAGTGGCTGCTTCTCCCGTCGTCACAAGCTTGAGGCGGCGCTGCTGCTACGCTGGGTTGGGCTGGGTGCATCACACTCGCTGTGTTTTCTGAGGTGCCTCGAAAGTCTTCTGCTGTTGAGGCGCCTCAAAAGTCTTCTGCTGTTGAGGCGCCTCAAAAGTCTTCTGCTGTTGAGGCGCCTCAAAAGTCTTCTGCTGGTATGCTGGGTTGGGCTGGGTCACACTCTCTCTGCTTTCTGCTGTGCCGACGCCTGCCGACCTTTAAGGCGGCTCAAAAGCACTCGCTGCGTTCTCTGCTGTGCCGTCACCTGCCACCTTCGGTGCGAACGTTGCTAATAATGGCAGGCTTTCAGGAGAGAGGAGCTACGCGATGATGCATTAGTCGACAAAAATATGATACTTGCTGCGTTCTCTGCTGTGCCGTTGCCTGCTGCCGCCGTCGCTGTGTTCGTTGCTAGTAGAGGCAGGCTGCCAGGGGAGTGAGGGGAATGAGGGGAAGAGAGAATGTTAAGCGGAGAAGGTGTGGGCAGAGTGAGACGGGACGAGTTGGCCGGCTGAGGGGAGTGAGAGGCAGGAGGGGGCGGATAGAGGGGATTGAAGAGAGGATTGGGAATAGAGGGGATTGAAGGGATTGGGGATTTAGGGGATTTTGGGGGGACGAGAGATGCGATGGATGGCAAGGTTGGTGCGAAGGGGAGGAGTCACGAGTCAGCCAGAGAGAGGGTTTTTTTAGGCGCCTCAAAAAGCGGGGAGGAGGACTTACGAGTCAGGCAGAGAGAGGTTCCCTAGGTGACATTAGGGTCGACTCAGAAGTCACCTTGTGGTCGATTCAATGGGGAAGCAGTCATGAGTCGGGGGAGGTTGTGTGGGTGTTTGATGGAGTGGAAACTAATGACGGCTGTAACCATCCAGTCGTTGTCCCGCGCCTTGTTCCTGTTCACGTACTTCAACAAAGCCTGAGAGGGGGGAGGGGGGAGAACGGGGTCCCGCGCCTTGTCATTCATGTTCACGTACTCGGTTAAAGCCTGGGAGGGGGGAAGGAGGAGAAGGGGAAAGGGGGTGGGGTGGGGAGGGGAGTGGGTCGAGAGGAAACATACAGCAGCTGGAGCCATCCAGTCGTTGCCCCGCGCCTTGTCCATCAGCACATACTTCATCAAAGCCTTGAGGAGGGGGGGGGGGTGGGGGGGGGGGGGGGGGGTTTGAGGGGGAGGGGGGAGAAGGGGAGGAGGTATGTGGTCCAATCGTTGCCCGGCGCCTTGTTCATCAGCGACTCCCCCCACCCTGTGAGTCGACTTGAAAGTCAGCTCATCCCTTCCCCCTGTGAATCGTCCTGTCCCTATCACCTGTATTAAACAGCACCGTCATAAGCCGCCGGTTCCGTTTGGTTCACCTAGGGTTCGTTCCGACCCACGTGAGCAAACAAAACCAAGTGGCATTGCCCTTATGACCACACGAGCCCCAAACCTGTAAGTTATTTCCTCGCGCTACTTGTTCTGACGCATCGTGACATAAATTGTCCCTTGTTACGAGGCTCGTTCCAAGGCTCGTTCCGCGGCTCGTTCCGAGGCTCGTTCCGCAGTTGTCCGGCGGATCGTTTCAACGCACCTGTAATTCCTCCTTGAGTCGCTGCTTCCATCGCTCGTCTCGCGGGCCTGCTTACGGTCAGAAGCGGGATCTTCTGAACCGTGAAATTGGTCGTGTTATCCCAACCGTCCATCGCGATCATTCGATCTAAAGTCAGGGAATCGAGAAGCGAAAAGCTGACGGCATGAAGAAGAGAAGACGGCTGTGCAGAAAAAGGTATTCTCTCGTTAGTATACACAATATGCGCGAGTACAACGAATCGTTACATCAACTAACGACTCTGGTTCACTCAAACAATGACTATGCTGCCTTTCCCTCTCTTAAATTTGTGACAGTATCCTTAGAATAATCTCTTCTAGTAGCCGCCAGCGTCTGTTTAGAAAGAACGAAGATCAGAATTTAGATTCGAGCATATCGCGTGGTGCATCTCTTATCGTGGGAATGCATCTCAAATCTGGCTGCCTGTTGGCATCTGTATCGTAAATTCCGATTGTTTTACATATATCGAGGCCATTTATAGGAAGTGCTCCGCATTGCCATATATGGGGTCAAATCGAAGTCCACACAACAGATTGGACAGATTCGTCGCAGACAGCGACGAATCACTGCAACATTTCGTGAGCCCTTTTCAGATTTCAGTAACCAGGTTACCCACCAGTTCCGAGTCCTGGCGAATCAAACTTGGCCGCGCAAATGCTTCCCAACTCTGCCCAGAATGCCACGCTTCCTCATCGGTTCGATCTCTCCAAGGTGCTTCAACCACTCGCTTTGGGTGTCCTCACCTCACCCAACCCAACTCAAACCAACCCAATCACAGCAACTCAACCCCTCCCACTTCCACTCACCCGCTGTCCTCAGTACAGTATTGGTGCCCCTCGCTAGTGGTGCCTGTCCTATCCTAAAGCGTGAATGCCTGCCAAGCCAATCAATGCCAAGGCAAGCCCGTCTGTTGCTCGCGGTCGCGGTGCCGTCGCGCCCATCCCATTCGTCCATATTTCTGCTGTAGCAGCGGCCATTCATTTCATTGCCTTATTTCAAATATCACTCTGACGTCACTTACGTTTACCTAAACCTGCAATGACTGGCTCAGTGTGGACGGCAGTCTGCGCGAATATCTCATGGCACGTGCGTGTCTCCCGACGTGGAAACTGCCACGTAGGACACTTACGGATGTCACGGGGAGCATGGTACGGGGAGCGGAAGCATGGTACGGGGAGAGGAAGCATGGTACGGGGAGCGGAAGCATGGTACGGGGAGCGGAAGCATGGTACGGGGAGCGGAAGCATGGTACGGGGAGCGGAAGCATGGTACGGGGAGCGGAAGCATGGTACGGGGAGAGGAAGCATGGTACGGGGAGCGGAAGCATGGTACGGGGAGAGGAAGCATGGTACGGGGAGCGGAAGCATGGTACGGGGAGCGGAAGCATGGTACGGGGAGCGGAAGCATGGTACGGGGAGCGGAAGCATGGTACGGGGAGCGGAAGCATGGTACGGGGAGAGGAAGCATGGTACGGGGAGAGGAAGCATGGTACGGGGAGCGGAAGCATGGTACGGGGAGCGGAAGCATGGTACGGGGAGCGGAAGCATGGTACGGGGAGCGGAAGCATGGTACGGGGAGAGGAAGCATGGTACGGGGAGCGGAAGCATGGTACGGGGAGCTTCAGCTGCAGCAGCTGGAGCAGGGTATTGTGGGCCAGGGCTGCGAAAGAGAAGGGGGAGGGGGAAGGGGAACGGGAGCGTAAGGGGAGGATTGGGGGAAGACGGAGCGAGGAAGGTGGGGAAGGATGGCATTGGGTGCTTCAGCACTGGCAACTGCAGCGGGCGATTGTGAGGCAGGGGGCTGTGCAGGGGGGAGGGTAGAGGGAAGGAAAGGGTGAGGGGGAAGGCGAGGGGAGGGTTAGGAGAAAGGGGAATGGAATGGAATGGAAGAATAGAATGGAATGGTGAATCTGACATGGTGCCATGCCATGCGCGTTTGTATTACTTGTGTGAATCTGACATGCCATGTGCGTTGCGCTCGGATTAGGTGGACCCACCAACCTGGTGATGACAGCTGGATATATGACTGGCGGGGCACGAACCGCACAGAACCCCTCAGCAATCAAAATGAACTGGCTGAGAAAAGAGGCAATTTTGACATGCCATGTGTGTTGGGCTACGGTTGACCTGATGATGCTGGCTCCATAGGACTGGCTGGTAGAGCATAAGCCGCACACAACCGCACAGAACATCTCTCAATCGTGTGTGTTGAGCTCAAATGGGAGGGCGGAGGCAGCTCCCTTGTGGGGCGGCCTGGCAGTGGGAGGTTGCGGAGGGGAGCGAGGGGGGAGATAGGGAGGGATGGATGGAGTTGAGGAGTTAGGGGGGAATGCTCATGAGGGAGGGAGGGAGGGAAGGGGGGGGGAAAGGGAGAAGGGAGGGGTTGGAGGGAGAGGGGGAGGGAGGGAGAACCTACATACCCGAACCTGTATTTCCGAACCTGCATCCCCAAACCTACCAGAGGTCCGGGTCCTGCCCGCTGCACGGCGAGCATGCCAGCTGTCACGTCCACGGAAGCCGGGACCCGGGCCCTGACCTGCCATGCTGCCACCTGGCAGACCGAAAGGTGGGAACAATCCCAAGGCGGGTGTGCAGGGGAGGGAGGGAGCAAGATTCAGGGTTTAGTGGCTTGAAATGTCTCAAAGCTGGCAGATTTAGAGGTGGGGATACTTCCAGAGTGGGGTGCACGGACTCTCGTTCTGCCCCTCTCCCCCAACCAACCACCATCCACACCTCTTCCTCTCACCTGAGTTACAGCCAGTCGCAGCACCGGCAGCTGCAGAAGACAACCAACCCTTTCTTTCCTCCCTCTCGACCAACCCTTTTATTCGCTCCCTGTGTCAATCTCTCCCCTCCCAACCACCATGCACACCTCTTCCTCTCACCTGAGTTACAGCCAGTCGCAGCACCGGCAGCTGCAGCAGGCGAATGTGGGCCAAGGCTGTGACGGGGACAGAGGGGAGGGGAGAGAGGAAGGGGGAGCGGGAGGGGAACGGGAAAGGTGGGGAGAAGGGGAGTACGGAGGGAGGGAGGGTAAGCGCCAGGGCGTTGCGGCTTCCTATGAAACTCTTCACATCACATGGCATGGCATGGGGAGATTCAACACCGGCAGCTGCAGCAGGCGATTGCGGGCCAGGGCTGTGCAGGGGAAGGGGAGGAAGAGCGGAAGGGTGGAGAGACGGTGGAGTGAGGAGAGAGGGGAAGGAAGGACGGTATGGGGTGGGAAGTTTCAACACTGGCAGCGTTTAACCCACAGTGCAGTAACAGTAAGGGGCTCTCTCCATTGCACAGTGGTGGTAACAGTAAGGCTGGACGCACGCACGCACAGTTACCGCACAGTAAGACGTCACGGACAGTTGCCCTACTGAGACCAGCCTTACAGTGCCGCATGTCCACCAGCAGTCTCGGGATGCCCACATGTGCCGCCACCCTCCCCACCGACCGACCGACCTAGTGCTGGGTTGCGACTGTCACCCTAGACCACAAACATACACGTGGAAGGGCACTGAAGGAAGCACAAAGAAAGAAAGAATTCCAGCAATAACCACTGCGAGGATTCGTCTAAGTATTGTTCGGAAAGGGACTTAGGCTTCTGTTCGAAATGCACCCATAAAGATTCACTGGTGGATCTGCAAAAAATGTGTTCCTTAACGGAATGCGTCAGAATATCGACGACAAGGTCGTCAGGCAGATAATTGATGCCTGTTGACCTAACAGTTTCCGAGCTACTGGCCGCCGCTGTGTCCGCCATGAGGAGCTAACGATGATTACTCGAAACTGATGCGAGATTCGTCTGGGCAAATAGCAGATGCGAGCAGGGAAGGAAAGTAATGGGGAGGTATTGATGCGAGCGAAGGACATTTCAACCGGGCAATGGCTCATCTAGGTCTCTCGGGCATTTTGTTTCTACCCGAACTGGCTGTTTCGAACGTGAGCGGGTAACATCTGTCGCCAGAGATGTCGTCTGTTGGGGAAGGCGGGGCTTGCGCTGCGAGATGGGCGAAGCTGCTGGCGACAAAACGCTCTAGACAGGCTTTGGGGAACTGAATATGACAACCACTGATAGCGCGAATGCACCGCTCTTGACCTCTCACAAATCTTGCGACCTCTCTCAAATCTCCCTCCATCCTCCTGATCTGAATTCGTCAACACCCGTACCCCTCACCCAAAATGCCAAGCCCGCTGGGCTGGGTATCCTTACCTCACCCAACCCAACGTAACCCAACCCAACCCATAGCTGAATTCGTCAGTTCCAGCGATTCCCGTGCCTCGCCCATATGCCAAACCTTTGCCTGTCCAAACCCTTTGGGTGTCCTCACCTCACCTAGCTCGAACCAACCAGCCCAACCAAGCCAAACAAAACCAGCCACTACCAAGCCTTGCAAACCAGCGCAACGCAAACCCTGTAAACCAACCAAACCGGGCCAAACCAAACCAGCTCACCCATGCCTGCAAATCAATCCCTCCCACTCCCACTTCCACCCACCAGCCGTCCCTCGCTACTGATTCCTCTCGCTAGTGATGCCTCTCACTGCTGCTGAGCTGATGCCTCTCTCGGTTCAAGTGGTCGTGCCTCTCCTCAAGGGTGAATGCCTGCCGCCAAGCCAAGCCTGCGCATCGCTTGCGCTGCCGTCGCGTGCATTCTATTCGTCCATACCGTTGCTGTAGCAGCAGCCATTCATTTCATTGCCGTAACCTTATCACTCCCATACAGCAATGACTAGCTCAGTAAGGTATGTGGACGGCTGTCGGCGAGAAATCGCATGGCACGTGTGTGTCTTCTGCCGTGGAAACTGCCACGTGGGACACATATGGGCGGATGCCGTGCACTCAGCTCTTCAAGCACAGCTCACCGCCATCTTATCTTTGAAAACCCAGCTTCGTATCGCCTCTATTCGTTCCCTTATCTTAAAGCTCGCGTCTCATATTCCTCGCTCGAAATGGAAACTCATTTCAGGTTTCATACCGAAACTATCGTGTAGGTTTTGTTCTCACGGACAATTTTCGAAGGCTAGCAGTCGCTTGGCTCGGAGTCGCACATGGCGGACATAGATTACCCTCGAGTCGCGCATTCCGTCTCCGTTCTTCACGACGTGTTGCGCGCTCACGTTAGTATGACAGCGTGCCTCCTCCTGCTACACCTCTACTGCTCACCGACGACGGCTTTCCAGCCTATATCAAGGCAGCTTGTATCGAAGCTGCCTGCTGCTCGCCGCGGACGAGGACTCTCCACGGGAACAGTTCCGCATCGCGCGGCGCAATATCTCGCTGCGCGGCGGGCGGAGAGAACATTAACCGGAGATGCCTATAGTCCCTGCTATGAGTTCGAATCTGCGCCCGACGCAGCAATGGGCGGAACCAGCTCGCCGCAGGCTTCGGCGGCTGACACGGCGGCCCTCAAGGCGGTTTTCACGGCCGCGCTGATTCCTATCCCGGCAAACCAGTCGGACGCGTGCCAGTGGCCCGGCGTGACTTGCTGCGGAGTCAGCCGCAACGTTGTTACGCTGCTAGACCTCTCGAAGAACATCAACCCCCCCCCACGCACGCCTCGCCTTTGCAACCGTACTGCGCGCGAACCGGGCGGAAAGTTCCCCGCAACCCTTTGAAGGAGTGTCTGACTTACTCACGCACCGTATGGGTCCTTGCATCATGTGGTTTCAGTCGATTCAAACGTCACTTGGTCGGGAGAGTGCAGTGGACGGAGGGAACAGTGGACAACGAGCATCTCAACAAGAAGAAGTCAAAGAGTGAGTCTGTCTTTACTCATGCACCGTATGCATCCATGCATCATGTGGTTTGGGTCGACTCAAACGTTGCAGGTTAGAGTGCAGTGGAGGGAGGGAACAGTGTAACACGAGCATCTGAACAAAAAAAGGGTCCAAGAGTGAGTGTCTGTCTTTTCTGTGCAGCATATGCGGGGTGCATTGTGAGGCGGTTTAGCTTGCTCTTTCTTTCCGAGTTGGACTCTTCTTCCTCTGTTCTGTTCTGTTCTGTTCCTTCCTCACGCTGCCAAACCTCTGGATAGAGCCCTTCGTTTCTACAAGCTACACGCTGTTGTTGAGAGTTCGTGAAACCAGCTTGAACCTTTTTTTTTTTACCCCTGCACCTTCCCTACATCCCGTCGTCCCCAATAAAGAGTGCTGCATTTTCCACAAGCAGCGGCCCTTCGGCGAGAGCAGCAGTAGCAGCAGCAGTAGCAGTGACAGCGAGAGTGACAACAGCGATGGTGACAATAATGGGGTGGGAAGAGGGCGGGACGATGCAAGAGGCATGGGAGGAACTGACGCAGATGCTGGCAGGTCAGGTAGTGCAGAGGGGGCGAGAGAAGGAGGAGCAGATGTAAATGGTTCTGCTCCTTCTTCCTCCTCTGCACCAATGGGGTCGGAGGGAAATGGTGAAGGCGGGAGCAGTGGGAGGAGGAGAAGGAGGCACAGGCACGGACGTGGAAAGCACTGCCATGGGCACTGTGGGGGTGGGGAGGGGGAGGTAGGAGAGGGTGGTCGGGAGGGAGAGTTAAATGGGGGAAACGAGGATATGAGAAGGGATACGGAGGAAGCAGGGGGCTCCTGATCAGAGTGAATCATCTTGCCTGCGTTTGTTTTTTTGGCATTTCTTGAAGGCGTATTATTCTTCCTGCATGGGAGGCCAATGGCGAAGGAGGTTAAGAGGAGAGGAGGAGAGGAAGGGAGGAGGGGAAGAGGGGGAATGGTGGAGGAGGAGAGGAGGGGAGGGGGGGGGGAAGGAGGGGGAAGAGGGGGGGGGTGGAGGAGGGGAGGAGGGGAGAAGTGGGGAAGGCACATGCAGCGACATGGGATGCATTTCCATGGGCACCGTGGGGTTGGGGGCGGAGAGAGGGGAGGGGGTGGAGGGGAGGGAAAGCTAGGTGGAGCAAACGAGGGTATGAGAAGAGAGGCAGGGGGGGCAGGGTGGTCTGTATGAGAGGTGATTTGGCCTGCCCGCACTTTTTTTTGGGGCAGTTTTTCAGGTTATCTAGCCATTGACTCTCTAGTCATGGATTTATCCCTCACTGTCTGATTGGGGAGAAATGGTGACGGATGGGATGGGGGGGAGGGAAATGGGGGTAGAAGGCGAGGAGAGGAGCCGACGAGCATGGATGCTGGCATGGGAAGTGTTGCGATGCCGTGGCAGTTGAGGGAGTGTATTGGGAAGTTAGGATCGAGGAGGTTATTTTATTGTAGGTTCGAAGAGACTGAATCGAGACATGGATTTGTAGAATGCTTGTGAGCAGTCGATGCATGAGTAAGGTTTTTTGTTATTGCCTGCACAGAAGCTTTGTTGAACGTTGGTTTTTCTTTAGATGTTAGAAACTAACGTAAATCCCTAAGCTTACAATATCGAGTACAACCTGAGCTGTTCTATTCCGTCCGTGCCAGCACATTTCCGCCAACTCATCCAAATCCCTAAGACCCTGTCCCCTGCGCTGCCCCACCACTCGCAACCACCCTATTCAATGGCGCTCGAGCCCTATTTCTAGCTTTCAGTTCATGGCTTCTCTTCTCCCAAGCTCGCGCCCCTTTACTTCGAGAAGTAGCGCCTCTTCCTCCTCTATTGCTGACCCCGCGTCTCGCTCCCCTGCGTTCGCGCGCTGCCCCTCGCCTCCGCGCGCCAGCTCTATTTCCCGCGCTGCCTTGCGGAAAGCAGAACAACGCACCCCATTCGCGGAATCCCCTTGCGCTCACGCGCGGAAAAATCCTTCCGCCAACGCTGCCCCCGCGGCCGGCGCGTCGAGCTACTCATCCGTCGCCAGCGACGAATCTCGACCGTCCGATCTCGTCGAAACCCCCTCTTGCCCGCTTCCGCCAATGGCTGATCCGTCCGATGCGCTCGTGCTGGCGTTGCACGAAGTCGAGGCCGTGAAATTCGGCAGTTTTAAGCTCAAAAGCGGGATCTGGTCGCCGATTTACATAGATCTGCGCGTGATTGTATCGTATCCGAAGCTGCTGCAGCAGGTCGCGGATGCGATGTGGGCGCTCGTGTGCCCGTCGGTTGTCGGCGAGTCCGACGCCGCTGCGAAATTCGACAACGTCTGCGGCGTGCCGTACACCGCGTTACCCATCGCCACGGCCATTTCGCTTTCGCGAAACGTGCCGATGGTCATGCGAAGGAAGGAGGTGAAAGGGTACGGAACGAGGAAGGCCATCGAAGGGGCCTTCGAGACCGGCCAGCATTGCCTCGTTATTGAGGACCTCGTTACAAGCGGAGCATCTGTTATGGAAACTGTAGAACCACTTAACGAAGTCGGGTTGAAAGTAACCGACGTGGTTGTCCTTATCGATAGGGAACAAGGCGGCGCCGCCCATCTGGCGGCACGGGGGCTGCGGCTCCACGCGGCGCTGACGCTGACACATGTCGTCACGGCATTGGTCAAGCACGGCAAGCTGACCAGTGACGTGGCTGAATCCGTCAGCAAATTCATCGCGGAAAACCAAACCGCAAACCCCGCCGCAGCCCCCGCCGCCGCCCCCACGGTTCCTGTGACGGTTACCCCTGTAACCGCCGCCCCTTCGCGAAAGTCGTACGCCGCTCGCGCGGCCCTGGCGAAGAACGACGTGGGGAGGCGGCTGTGGGAGATCATGGAGCGGAAAAAGACAAACCTGTCCGTGGCTGCTGACGTGGAGTCGGCGGAAGAGCTGCTCAAACTGGCGGAAACGGTGAGCAGGCGCGGGGAGAGGAACGGGGCGAGCGGAACGTTTGGGGGGAGGGGGAAGAAAGTGGGGGGGGTGGGGATGGATAGAGGGGGTGGGAGAAGGGGAGCGAAGGTGAAAGGAACAAGGGAGAGGGTGGGAGGAGGGCAAGTAGGGGGTGTGGGGGGGTGGCAGAAGGGAATGGGGAGGATGTGCCATCACACCACATTCTCTTTCCCTGTCTATTGAGACGTATTCAATTTTCAAAAGAACACTGTAGTACCTTGCACTTGCAAGCCTGGTCATAGGTTCTTCGTGTGCAGTCTCAATAGATAGGCAAAGCCCCTCCTTCCATTCCCCCCTTTCCCCTCCCAACTACCTCCCCCACTCTTGCACGCCCCCATTTCCCCAAACCCGAGATTTCAATCCCAAACCCCTATGTCCAATCTCGCCAGAACCATGAACCCTACCGTCCAAAACCCTCAATCCTGACTTTTCAACCAAACTCATTACTTGCAGTGCAACACGCGGATTGGATCGAGGATGCGTGTGCTCAAGACGCACGTGGACGTTTCTCTAGGCCCTCGTTTGTCTTCCCCTCTTTCCTCCTCTTGCGAGTGTGCTCCTGGTTCATCTCGTGCACAAACACCCCACCCTCGGATCGGGTCGGAGATCTACGTCCTCAAGACCCACGTGGACATTCTCCCATGGCCTCCTCCTCTACCTCTGTTTCCTTCCCTTCCCTTCCCTCCCCCCCACACGCACACCCTACCCGCAGATCGGGTCGGAGATCTGTGTGCTCAAGACCCACGTGGACATTCTCCCATGGTCCACTCGCGTGCCCCCTTCGCCTGCCCATCCATACCCTAACCCTGCTTGTACTGCCCACCGCCCCCTCTCACAGATCGGGTCGGAGATCTGTGTGCTCAAGACCCACGTGGACATTCTCCCAGACTTCACTCCCGAGTTTGGCAAGCGCATCCGCGAGGTGAGTGGTGCCGTGCAGTGAAAAACGGCTGTGTGCGGTGATGAGTGGCTGTGTGGGGTAACAAGCAATGGTGTGCTTTTTCGTAGTTCATCACCATCCACCTGGGCTTTCAGGGCCGCCAACGTGCACACCACCCCCAGACACCGTGCCCAGTTGGTTTCCGAATTTTCTCAACAACCTTCTTTTCTTCTTGCTGCTGCTCTGCTCCCCGCTCGCCCCTTCCCTGCCCTGTTCTGCCCTTCTAAGCTCCCTGCCCATGTTATTCAACATTTGCACTCATAGTAACAGCTGACCCGTGGGTTGACTTTTGAGTTGACAAAAAACGCGTCTAGTGTTTGAGAATCGCAGGCTTGCAGAAGCCGCGGTCCCCAAACACTAGGCTATTAAAGAAATGCGGCTAGTGATTGTGCTCCTCTCTTCAATCCCTTTCTCTTCCCTCTGCTGCTCCTCTTCCTGCTGCGGCATCCTCCTCCTCCTCCTCCTCCTCCTCCTCCTCCTCCTCCTCCTCCTCCTCCTGCTGCTGCTGCTGCAGATCGCCACGCGGCTGGACTTCCTGGTGTTTGAAGATCGCAAGTTGGCAAGCCCATTCACCCCTTCCCGCTCCCTCCCTGTGTCTGTGCCACTCCGCTCCCCCCCTGCTCTGCTCCTCTGCTGCAGATCGCCACGCGTCTGGACTTCCTGGTGTTTGAGGACCGCAAGTTTGCTGACATTGGTAACACGGTTACCATGCAGTACGGCGGGTGAGTGGTAACCTGGTTACGCTGCAGTAATGCGGATGAAGTTCCCCGCATGTCAGCATCCTGCTATCAGCACTCCTCCATATGTCACGCCTACTGTCACTTCTTTTACACTCACGCTTACTCTGAGTTCTCAACACCCCCACTCCTCTTACCCTGACTCCCGTTGCTACTCCTCGTATTGCTTGCAGAGGAATCTACCAGATCTCCGAATGGGCTGACATAATCAATGCCCACGGCGTGCCGGGGCCAGGCATCATCCAGGGACTCAAGCAGAAGGTATGGACTCGGTGGTGTGTGGTGGAGTGGGGTGAGGTGAGGCTGAAGCCATCATTAGGGATGTGAGCGATCTTCTTCGATGTCCATGGTGTGCCGGGGCCATGCTCAAAATTTTGAGACATCTCAAATCTAGCAGCAGCGTATGTGGTGAATGATGCGTCCGCTGCCACGGTTGGTGCGAATGGCTCTCTCATTCTCACCCACCCTCACACCTCCCCACATTCCCCCCCCATCAGGCCGGCTCCCTGCTTTTGCTAGCAGAAATGAGTTCAGCTGGCACATTGGCCCACTCCGCCTACACGGCTCCCTGCATTCTTCTTCCTCTTTCCGCGCCCCTTGTCTAAGGGCGGGTCACTCCTACTCCTAGTCGAAATGAGCTCGACAGGAACCCTAGCCCACTCCACCTACACTGCCTCCACGCTGCGAATGGCACTCACCGACTCGCACCGGCTCACACCACACCTCACCTTATGCTCGGCCCTGCATTCTTCCTCTTTCCGCGCCCTTTGTCTCAGGGCGGCTCTCTCTTGCTACTGGCAGAGATGAGCTCAGCCGGAACCCTGGCCCACTCCACCTACACGGCCTCCACTTTACGAATGGCGCTCACCGATCCGGACTATGTCATCGGCTTCATCTCCATGCACCCGGGGGGCTGGCGCACCGGTGCCACTGCCGCTGCCGCTGCTGCTGGTGGGGCGTGTGAGGAGCTGGCGGCGGCAGTGAGGGAGGCGGAGGCGGCAGGGGTGTGGGATACCCTGGTGCACATGACGCCGGGCGTGCAGCTGGCCGCTGGTGGGGACGCGCTGGGGCAGCAATACAACACTCCAGGCGCGGTGAGTTGATGATTGGGTGGTGGGTGGTGCTGCTGGTGCTAGTTATGCTTCAAGCGGTGGGGTTGTGGGGTGCGAGTGCAGCTGGCGGCTGGAGGGGACGCGCTGGGGCAGCAGTACAACACACCACTATGCTGAGGGATGTGGTTGAGTTTCAGGGTTTGGAGCATCAAGGGTGCTTCTTCAAAAGTCGTTTCACAAGTCCAGCAGCATAGTGGGAAGAGGTGTTTCGGATTGAAATCACCTCACAATGAGCATCCTTGCTACTCATTCTTAGACTTTTGAGTCGACTCAAAAGTCACCTCGGATTGAAATCACCTCACAATTAGCATCCTTGCTACTCATTCTTAGACTTTTGAGTCGACTCAAAAGTCACCTTGGATTGAAATCACCTCACAATGAGCATCCTTGCTACTCATTCTTAGACTTTTGAGTCGACTCAAAAGTCACCTCAGATTGAAATCACCTCACAATGAGCATCCTTGCTACTCATTCTTCCTGTGCAACCCCTTACCCGCATCACCACCACCCACCACACCATCGCTCTCCCCCCTCTCCAACCCCCAGGTGATCAAGCAGCGGGGGTCCGGCATCATCAGAGTGGGTCGGGGAATCATCAAGGCAGCACACTCCCTGCGTCCTTCCACCTATTGTCCTGTGCCTTGCCCCCTCTCCCACTCCCACTGTGCCCTCCTTTTTCCTGTGATCAAGCAGTGGGGCTCCGACATCGTCACAGTGGAATCCATGGAAGCAGGCTCTTGACTCTTACCCCCAATACCCCCTCAACCCCTCACAACCCCTCTCAATCCCCAGGTGATCAAGCAGCGGGGGTCTGACATCATCATAGTGGGCCGGGGAATCATAAAGGCGGCTGACCCTCTGGAAGCTGCCAGGAAGTATCGCGAGGCGGGGTGGGCGGCGTATGAGGAAAGCCTTGCTGCAGCTGCTGGTGAAGGTGCTGCAGTCTAGAAGTCTCGGGCTGAAAGCCTTGAATTGGATTATCTCCAGCGCTGCTGCTGGGTGGGCAGGGCAGCGTACGAGGAAAGGAAAGCCTTGCTGCCAGTGGTGGTGGTGGTGGTAGTGCTGCAGTTTAGAGTTCTTTGGCTCGAACGGGGTTATCTGCATGGTCGAATCATTAGTCATCGTGTGGGGTGGGGGTGTGGGGCCCCTTTTGCTGCTGTGGTGCTGAGGATGTGGGAAACAGATTGGATTGGATGAAGGACATAAGAATTGCTGTGTGTGGCGGCCGGCACGAAGCGAGCGAGCGTAGAGCTGCTGCGACTTGAAGCCACGCCGCTGCTGTGGTCGTGAATGGATGCATTAGGAGTGTGGAGTTAGCAGCTGTGGGTCTTGAATTTTGTAAGGCCAAGGCTGATGTTACAACTAAGAATCGTAGTGGATAGGATAAGGTTGCTAAGTATAGAGGAGAACTGTGAAGTCTCTGTAATGACCTTGTTAACAAGTTGAAAGAGAACAAGATGATTGTAAGATACAAGTACAAGAATATAAATAGCAATCCTAGCTAGCCATGTACTCTGAGGGGTACATTCCCTTATTAACTGAATTGCATTGCTACAGTAACACGCGACTATTGCCGTTCTAGACAGTTACCATGTTGTATTTCGCAACTGCCTTATGCGGTTACTGGGCAGTCAAGGGTCACGACCGTTGACTATCTTCGACTGTTGACCTTCGGGTGACCCTCGAACTTCCGCGTGCTCTATACGAGCTCATGCGGTACTGGTACAAGCACCTGCTTCGCTATGAAGAGGTGCGATAGTGGAGAGTCTTCGTGAATGCTTGTGATAACCTTTCGGTTATCCCAACACTCCCCTTCATTCCTGAAGGTGAGCCACGTGGGATTTCTTGGTGATCCCGCAGAGGTTGGCGCAGTGCTGGAACTGTTGACGTGGCAGTTTCTTTGTCAGAAAGTCGGCTGCCATGTCACCAGTCGGGCAGTACGTGAGCTTGACCTTGCCCTTGTCGATTTCGTCCTTGACGAAGAAGTAGCGAAGGGCGATGTGTTTCGTGCGATTCACGAAGCCGGGTTTGTTTGCGATCTTGATCGCACTCTGGTTGTCGCAGAGTAACTTGAAGTGCCCGTTCATCGTTACTTTCGCTTCCTGCAGGAGCTCCATCAGGTACAGTCCTTCGCGAACAGCTGCGCTGGCGGCGATGAATTCTGCTTCGGCTGACGAAAGGGCGATGAGTTCCTGCTTCTGAGAGTTCCATGAGATGAGCCCAGCAGGTTGGAGTTGAAAAATAAATCCTGTGCGGGAGCGTCTGTTGTCAACATCTCCCGCGTGGTCAGCGTCTACGTAGCCGTGCAGCTGCAGGGTGGCCGTTAAGTTAGCTTCGTAGGTGAGGCCGACGTCGGGAGTAGAGATGAAGTATTGGAGTGCGCGGCGCAGATCCTGTAGATTCTCCCCTTCAGGTCGCTTCATGTACTGAGCGAGCTGGCTTGCGACGTAGGAGAGATCGGGCCGGCACGTGACGGCGGCAAAGAGAAGGCACCCGAGCTGCTGCTGATAGAGCCGATGATCTTCAAGAGAGAGAGGCGAGGTGTCGGCTTCGTGGTTAGGAGGAGGAGTGCGAAACGGGGTGGAGAGGTTGATTGGTGCGATGCCGAATTTCTTCGCGAGTGTCTCGGCGTACTTGGCAGCGGAGAGGTGAATGGAGGAGGCAGAGTGGGTGATGTTGAGTCCGAGGAATTGGGTGACGTCGTGGTTGATGGTGACTTCCAACTGCTCCTTGATGTCTGCTTCGAACTGATCCAGTAGCTCCGTGTCGTCGCCGGTGTAGAGGAGGTCGTCGACGTAGGCGACGAGGAGAATGAACGTGCCGCGGGACTCCTTCCTGTACATTCCGAGGTCGTGGGGTAGCTGTTGGAAGCCGAGGTTTGTGAGCACCGTGTGGAGGTACTGCTGCCACAGACGAGGTGCTTGCTTGATCCCGTAAAGGGATTTCTGGAGTAGGCAGACGGCGCCGTCGTTCTCTTCGAAGGCATGCGGCTGCTCGACGAAGATGATTGCGTCGACTGGAGCGTATAAGAATGCGCTGCCGACGTCGATCTGACGGAGAGGGCGCTGCTTGACGGCTGCGATGCAGATGAGAATTCGTACGGAGGTGTGCCGTCCGACTGGTGCGTAGGTGAGGTCAAAGTCCACCATGTGTGTTTGCTCGAAGCCGCGCACCACCCAACGCGCTTTGTATTTGTCAATGGAGCCCTCCGCCAGTGTCTTGATGCGGAACACCCATTTTCCACTGAGAATTTTCCTCCCCTTCGCAGATGTCCGGGGAACCAGCTTCCAGGTGCCACGGTTCTTGAGCGACGCGATTTCCTTGGCCATGGCTGCCTTCCATTTCTCACTGTCGGGGCCGGAGAGAGCCTGGCGAACAGTGGTGGGTTCCTTGGGAGAGGAGTGGCGAACAGCGACGGCGAGCCCGAGGATGCGGAGACCAGTTTCGTTGGTCTTTTCGTAGTGCAGACGGTCGTAGTCGTGGAAGCTGGTTACTTCGACCACGTCGTCGTCACTGTCGTTGCCGGGGCGGAGGGAATCCTGCGAGGTGTTTGGTGGTGGTAACTCAGCATCCGGTGACTGGCGGGCGTTGCTGTTGAAGTTGTGAGCTTCGCGAGTTGTATCATCGGGTCAGGTTGGTGTAGAGGGATGAAAGTTGGAGTTTGGAATGGGCTTGTAAGGGGGATGTTGGGTGCGCTGTCAAACTGGCTGACATTTGTTGCGTCCACATCTTTCGCCAGGTCAGCCTCATCGTGTGGAGTGGCGAAGCTGCGGTGTCCCTCGAAAACCCTTTCTGGAACCGTGTCAGCTTCGCGGTGTTCGTTGAACAGTGGCAGAGTCAGCTTCTCGTAGAAGATGCAGTCACGTAATTTTGTCACTTCGTGTGTCGCGTAGTCCAGCACGATCCACGCCTTGAATTCCTTTTCGATTCCGAGGTGGATGCCCCAGCGAGCTCGGTCAGCAAACTTTCCGGTCCTTGCTGTGTGCGGTCTGTACTGTACCATGCAGCCAAACACCCGAAGCAGACGCGTGTCTGCTTTTCTGCCCGTCCACGCCTTGTAAGGAGAGTTGTTGTTCTCGAGGCTTCGGGATGACAGCAAGTTGTGCAGCCGGACTGCATGGTTCATGGCGAACGGCCAGTAACGAGGTGGGATGGCCGACTGCTTCATCAGGGCCCTCATCCTGGTGGCGAGGCTCTTGTTTGCCCGTTCTGCTACTCCTTGCTGCTCGTGAGCGTAGGGCAGGGACACCAGATGTTCAATCCCTTTCTTCTGGAAGAGCTCCTTGAACTCGTCTGAGAAGAACTCCAGAGCTCCGTCCGTTTGCCAGCTCTTCAGTTTAAGTCCCGATTGTCGTTCAGCTCGCTTTATCCACGCGATGAAGCATTCGAAGGCGAGTGATCTGCAGTCGGTATTGACAGCCCAAACGTGGCGAGTATTGGCGTCGATGAAGGTCAGCGTGTAGCGCTCGCCATCGAGTCCGTCCTCCGTCAGGCACATGAAGTCGCTGTAAACTTTCTCGAGCGGCTTGTAACGTTCGTAGTCTGGTGGTAGGTCGGGGAAGGGCTTGTGGGCGAGCGACGCGGTGGGGCACACGGTGCAGGTCGGGTCATCGGAATTTGCGGTGAGAAAGCCTCCTCGTGGGAGGAGTAAAGCTTCGTTGTCGAGGACCCCAGCCTTCAGAGAGTTCTTGAGTGTTGTGTGAGAAGGATGTCCGAGCCGCTGATGCCAGATTTCAGGTTCCGCACGGTAGCCCACTGTCTTCTGATAATACTTCTGTCTTGCTGCTTCGTCGTTTGCCTCCCCTTCAGGTCCTGCATCGGTGGCGTTGTCAGCGTCGGCGGCGAACGCGCGAATTGCTTTTTGTTCCAGAAGCGCGTGTGGAATACCGATGATGTCGTCGGTGTCGCCGGCGTCGACTCGGTCTCCGGTGACAAGTAGGCACTGGTTGGGCCAATCGCGGACTGGGAGTCCCTTCATGGGGATTCGATAGTAGCTGAACTCGGCCCCGATAACTTCAATCTCCTGTGGTCCTTGCACGGGTGGCTCCGGTTCCTCGGTAGGTGCTGGCAGCTCCGCTGCTTCCCCAAAGAATTCATATGTTTCTTCCTCCTCTGACTCTTCTTCCATTGGTTCTGGTGTGTCAGGGGCGTACTGGTCAGGAAGAGGAGGGCCACCCCAGCTGGTGCCTCGTGTCGCCCAGTAGGGATCGAACTCCGCTGTTTCGGCTGAAGGGAGTCCCGGAGCTTCGGGATACGGGGAGGTTTCCTGCCCTAATTCCGATTGGCCTCCAGAAGTGCCCCAGCCGCTTCCGCCAGTGATGTTTCCCCAGCCACCAGGGTTGTCTCCGGCGTTCCAATCAGTTACTTCGCCCCAACCGCCTTCTGTGCTCCAGCCACCTTCGGCGGCACCGCTTGCTACTGTTGCTGAGACGGTGCCGTGGTCTTCTGCAGCTGCTTCCTCTGGTGTCAGAATTTCTCCCAGGGGGGCGAGTGCAGGGCCAGGGCTGACTGGCTCGGTTCCGACCTTTTCTTTTCCTTTAGCGGATAGCTCTGCAAATGCTGACGTTCCGCTGTCTTCTTCCATTGATGCAGGTCCGGTTTCAGCTGGGTTGGAGGTCGAAGCTGTCGGGACCATGCGCAGTCGTAGGAGGCCGTCCGAGGCGGGTCGCTCAAGATCCATCTCTGTAGGATGTGACCAGGTTGGAGCTTCTGCAGTGGTTGTCTTCAACAGCAGGGTGCGGTGAGAGTCTCCTGAAGTACCCTGAGCTGAGAACTGCAGCACGAAGACCCCGTCGTTGTCCACGGCTTTGCCGATGTAAGTGTTGCCGTAGAAAAGTTCGAAGGTCTTGTCCTTGCGGTTGCTTCGAATGTCGACTCCGCACCGCATAAGCTGAGCCGAAGAGAGGAGGTTGTACCGTAGATCTGGGGCGACGAGCACATCGCCGATGTGAATCGTGAAGTGTGTGTCGTCAGCTTCAAGGAAGATCTCACCGATGTCATATGCTTTGAGTGTGCCGTCGTTTGCCACTGTGATCTCGCAGGGTCGACGCATGCGTTTGGAGTTGGTGATGAATGTTGGTGATCCCACCATGTGCTGCCCGCAGCAACTGTCCAGGTACCAGGTGTTGATGGTTTCGCGGCTCTGGCGCGCGATGTTGGCGATTTTCGGCGTGACCACGCGTTCCATTTCGCCGGTGTAGGGAGAGAGAGCGAAGTACCGATTCGCCGACATGCTGGGAGGTGATTCTGGTGTCGGTGGCGGCAGCTCAAAGTCAGGTGGGTGCCTCTGTTGTAAGTTGTACCAGGTAGGGGCAGTGGGGTCGTTGTTCTGCCTGGGTGCAACAGGGTTGATAGGGTCATCAAGTGCGAATGTTACTCGATCATAGTAACGAAAGCCTCTGTTGCGGCGAGCCATGCAGCTCATGATTGTTCCCTTGCCTTTGTCCTTGGTCGTAATGCGTGCAGGTGTCTGCGAGGTGCTTGCGACGGAGGGAGGCGAGATGGTGGTTGTTTGGACGGAAGGCGCAGAAGGGTTTGAGGAGTTGTTGCGCCTTTCGTCGGCTGCCTTTCGCTTGTAGCACCGATCGATAGTGTGCCCAGGCTTCTTGCAGTACTTGCAGAAAGTCCCCTTCTTTCCGTGCTGCTCCCCTTCAGATGCTCCGACGTAGAAGACTAATTTCTCACGCTTGGTGTTCTTCTCGTTGTACAGGTCGATTTCCTTTTGCTCGGAGAGGAGTGTGGCGCACAGAGCCGATTCGGAGACAGTTGCTCGAGCGCGGAGTAAGGATTGGCATTGACGCCAGTCGGGACCAAGGCCAGAAAGAACCATTGAGACGAACATGTCGTCGGGAACGGATCCTCCGCACTTCTTGATGTGATCGCGCAGATTGCGGCACCGGTTGATGTATGGTCCCGCTTTCTCCCCTTGATGCATTTTGACTGATGTGAGCTGGCTGAGAAGGCGACTCATTGTAACTGGATCTGTTGCCATGTATGAGTTGCGCAGGTGCTCCCAGGAGGCATACGCGGGTGCCCACTCTGATTTGTAGGAGCGAATGCCGAGCTGTTCGTCAGGGGAGAGATTTGGGAGCAAGGTGGTGTACGCGAGAAGAGATTCGTGGTAGTATTGGTTCTTCTCCTGGATGGTGCCTTCCGTTGGAAACGGTAAGCTGCCGTCGTAGTACATCCAAATTTGCGCGTTTGTAGCGAGGAGCTCAAACTCGAAGCTCCAAGTGTAGAAGTCCTTTCCGTTGAAAGGAACTGATGTCTTCAGTTTTGATGTCAGAACGAATTTTGTATGTATTGCTGAAATCGTATCTGCGTGTGCGCGTTGGCTGTCTTGCGCAGTAGCTGAAGCTTGACGGTTGTCAAACGTGAATGATCTCTCAGAGTTGACGCGGCGGTCTTCTCCAGGGAGAGGAAGTCCGGCAACCCCACGTGCGAAGCTTGAGCCATCGATGCTCATAGCTTGATGGCTTTCAAGAGCATTGATGCGGGCGACCAGCTGCTCAACGAGAGCGGCGCTGACGGAGGTCACCGCAGATGGTGCAGTGGGTGTTGCTGATGGTGGGCCCGGAGATTCTGCAGTGGCTTTCCCTTCTGGAGCCATAGTGATGCAGAATCTTTGATGTTGTAAGGAATAATTTATAAGGAGTTTGTTCTAGCAAGAACAAGAACTTAGCAGGCCTTATAATCCACTCTAGCTCTCATACCATGATGTTACAACTAAGAATCGTAGTGGATAGGATAAGGTTGCTAAGTATAGAGGAGAACTGTGAAGTCTCTGTAATGACCTTGTTAACAAGTTGAAAGAGAACAAGATGATTGTAAGATACAAGTACAAGAATATAAATAGCAATCCTAGCTAGCCATGTACTCTGAGGGGTACATTCCCTTATTAACTGAATTGCATTGCTACAGTAACACGCGACTATTGCCGTTCTAGACAGTTACCATGTTGTATTTCGCAACTGCCTTATGCGGTTACTGGGCAGTCAAGGGTCACGACCGTTGACTGTCTTCGACTGTTGACCTTCGGGTGACCCTCGAACTTCCGCGTGCTCTATACGAGCTCATGCGGTACTGGTACAAGCACCTGCTTCGCTATGAAGAGGTGCGATAGTGGAGAGTCTTCGGGAATGCTTGTGATAACCTTTCGGTTATCCCAACAAAGGCCCTGTTGAGGAGGGGCCGAATAGCAGAGTGGATTCTGATATAGCTTCAGTTTTATTTCATCTTAGTCAATGCCAGGCTCTGCTGCTTTCAAGATTGAGATCAAATCAAATCAGCCTTGTTCTGGCAATACGGCTGTACACAGCATGCCAATTTCTTGCATGTGCTAGTTTCTGTCATCAAGTTTCAAGGACACTTGGCCCACATAAAGAGATGTCTTACTTACGAACCGTCTAAAATCTCGCCTGTTGTAAATATTGTGTTGACCTACTCTCAGTTGGTAAGGACGCGTGTAATGAGTACCTGTATTCCCTTTGTAGGCGTCTTCACCAAGAAACTTGTAACTACGGTGGTTTGATTCGAATGAAATACCTCAACCCTAAATCCATGCCTCCCCGTGTTTAGGGTTGATGCCTCCCTGACCGGATGCATGCCCGAATGGGTTTTATTTTTTTTGCCCGCGGGCAGCGAGCTCCCCCGGGCGGACTCGCTTGTCCGCTGAGGTTTTTTTCGGTGTGCTACCTAGCTAGCCTTCCGTGTGTCTGGGAAAAGCACACCCATACAGTTCCCAACAACACCAACGCGCATATTCAGCAGCAGATTCCCTGCGACTCGCACATACTTCGAGAGCACCGTCGCGAAACCTGCGTCGTGCTGTCTGTCTCCATTTAGGCCGTCCTTTTGCTTCCACAGTCATCGCTCACGCCCGGGTGATTGTACGAGTTCAATTCGGTAGAATCACGCACGCTGATGGGCCGCCCGGGAGGCCGTTTCGCGCCACGTGGTCCGCCACGTGGTGGTCCGTCGCTGCCCTTCTCCTTGCAGAAGCAACTCCAAGAGCCCGACGATGACGATGATGACGTGGCGATTTCTGGTAGGCCATTGCGAATAGCTTCCTCGTCGGCACTAACCACTAATCCATAAGTACGAGTTTATGACTACTAGTTAATGACTAACGGTGTATGACTACTAATCCAAGACTGCATTGCAGTGCCAGGTGATAGAATTGCTACTGCCGTTTCGGTCTGATTCAGCCCAATACTTTTGAAACCGAGGCTGTTTTTGTAGAATACTGAACATATTCAGGTCCCCAGGTTGTAGACTCTTAAAAATCAAATAGGCGAGACGCCCCAATACCTTTTTCCTCGTTTCCCCCGCCCCCTGCAACCACGCAGACGACGAGGGCAGGGTTTCGGGTTTACCGCGCAAAAAGGGTTTATCGCGGAAAGAGCAGCGACGGCAGCAGCGGCAGGAGAAGCAGCAGAAGCGGCAGGAATGGGCGCAGCAGCGCGTGGGGGGACGGAAGGCGGGGAGCGCAGGGGCAAACGCGGGGGGCGCGGAAGGAGGCACGGGAAGCGGGAAGGGAGCAGGTGGAGCAACGGGAGGGGGTCAGGCGCAGGCGAAGGGGGAGGGCCATGGCGGGGGGAAGGTTCAAGCGGGGGAGGCAGGTGCCTGGGGGAGAGAGGATCAGGGGAAGGGGGCGGGCGGAAAGCAGGGCGCGACAAAAGAGGCTGGTCGGGTGGGACAAAGCGGCACTTCAGCAGCGGGAAAGAGCGGAACTGCTGCTGTTGGCGGAAAGAGAAAAGTGGCGGAGGTGGCAAGTGGCGGGGGGAAAGAGATGGTGGGGGGTGCTGTGGGGAAGGGCACGGGGACAGGAGCGCGAGAGGCAGCGAGGGGTGGAAAGAGAGTGGGTGTGCAAGTAGGGACGAAAGAAGGGAAGACGGAAGGAAAGAAAGAGGGGAAGAGAGAGGGGAAGAGTGGGGAGGAGAGGGAGGGGAAGAAGAGGAAAATGACGAACTTTGAGAGGCTGTTAGAGATGGAAGAGAATGGAGGGATGACGGTGGGAGAGGAGGAGGAGGAGGAGCGGATGCTTGCAAAGAAGCTGAATGTGAAAGGCGGGGTTTTGCCAGGGTCTAAGGACGGTTTGGAAGGGTTTTTAGGGTTTGGAGGGAGTGATGAGGAGGATGAGTGGGGTGGGATGGGAGGAGGTTTAGGCGATTCGGAAGACGAGGAGGAGGATGAGGAGGGGTTAGAAGGGTTTAGTGAGGAAGATTATAATGAGGATATGGAGGATGGGGAGGAGGAGAGCGAGGAAGGAGAGGAAGGGGAAGAAGGGGAGGAGGGAGAGGAGGGAGAGGAAGGGGAGGAAGAAGAGGTGGGAGAGGAAGGGGAGGAGGGAGAGATGGAGGAGGACAAGGGGTCGTTGGGTTCTTTTGAGGAGGATGGGGAGTGGTCAGATGATGGTAGTGAGGAGGGAGAGGAGGGGGATGAAGGGGATGAAGAAGTGGAGGAGGAAGGGGAGGAGTGGGAGGACGAGGAGGAAGAGGAGGGTGGAGTAGCAGCAGTGGAAGGAGCAAAGCCCATGAGTGCGCTGGCAAATCAAACAGTAGGCGAGGGGGGGAAGTACGTACCGCCTCATTTGAGACGAGCGGCGGCAGCAGGAGGAGCAGGGGACGAGGACGATGCTGCTGAGCGGCAGCAGGTGATCCGACGGCTGAAAGGTAAGTGTGGCATGATCTGACGGCTGAAAGGTAAGTGTGGCATGATCTGACGGCTGAAAGGTAAGTGTGGCATGATCTGACGGCTGAAAGGTAAGTGTGGCATGATCTGACGGCTGAAAGGTAAGTGTGGCATGATCTGACGGCTGAAAGGTAAGTGTGGCATGATCTGACGGCTGAAAGGTAAGTGTGGCATGATCTGATGGCTGAAAGGTAAGTGTGGCATGATCTGACGGCTGAAAGGTAAGTGTGGCATGATCTGACGGCTGAAAGGTAAGTGTGGCATGATCTGACGGCTGAAAGGTAAGTGTGGCATGATCTGACGGCTGAAAGGTAAGTGTGGCATGATCTGATGGCTGAAAGGTAAGTGTGGCATGATCTGACGGCTGAAAGGTAAGTGTGGCATGATCTGACGGCTGAAAGGTAAGTGTGGCATGATCTGACGGCTGAAAGGTAAGTGTGGCATGATCTGACGGCTGAAAGGTAAGTGTGGCATGATCTGTCGGCTGAAAGGTAAGTGTGGCATGATCTGACGGCTGAAAGGTAAGTGTGGCATGATCTGTCGGCTGAAAGGTAAGTGTGGCATGATCTGACGGCTGAAAGGTAAGTGTGGCATGATCTGACGGTTGAAAGGTAAGTGTGGCATGATCTGACGGCTGAAAGGTAAGTGTGGCATGATCTGACGGCTGAAAGGTAAGTGTGGCATGATCTGACGGCTGAAAGGTAAGTGTGGCATGATCTGACGGCTGAAAGGTAAGTGTGGCATGATCTGACGGCTGAAAGGTAAGTGTGGCATGATCTGACGGCTGAAAGGTAAGTGTGGCATGATCTGACGGCTGAAAGGTAAGTGTGGCATGATCTGACGGCTGAAAGGTAAGTGTGGCATGATCTGACGGCTGAAAGGTAAGTGTGGCATGATCTGACGGCTGAAAGGTAAGTGTGGCATGATCTGACGGCTGAAAGGTAAGTGTGGCATGATCTGACGGCTGAAAGGTAAGTGTGGCATGATCTGACGGCTGAAAGGTAAGTGTGGCATGATCTGATGGCTGAAAGGTAAGTGTGGCATGATCTGACGGCTGAAAGGTAAGTGTGGCATGATCTGACGGCTGAAAGGTAAGTGTGGCATGATCTGACGGCTGAAAGGTAAGTGTGGCATGATCTGACGGCTGAAAGGTAAGTGTGGCATGATCTGTCGGCTGAAAGGTAAGTGTGGCATGATCTGACGGCTGAAAGGTAAGTGTGGCATGATCTGTCGGCTGAAAGGTAAGTGTGGCATGATCTGACGGCTGAAAGGTAAGTGTGGCATGATCTGACGGTTGAAAGGTAAGTGTGGCATGATCTGACGGCTGAAAGGTAAGTGTGGCATGATCTGACGGCTGAAAGGTAAGTGTGGCATGATCTGACGGCTGAAAGGTAAGTGTGGCATGATCTGACGGCTGAAAGGTAAGTGTGGCATGATCTGACGGCTGAAAGGTAAGTGTGGCATGATCTGACGGCTGAAAGGTAAGTGTGGCATGATCTGACGGCTGAAAGGTAAGTGTGGCATGATCTGACGGCTGAAAGGTAAGTGTGGCATGATCTGACGGCTGAAAGGTAAGTGTGGCATGATCTGACGGCTGAAAGGTAAGTGTGGCATGATCTGATGGCTGAAAGGTAAGTGTGGCATGATCTGACGGCTGAAAGGTAAGTGTGGCATGATCTGACGGCTGAAAGGTAAGTGTGGCATGATCTGACGGCTGAAAGGTAAGTGTGGCATGATCTGACGGCTGAAAGGTAAGTGTGGCATGATCTGACGGCTGAAAGGTAAGTGTGGCATGATCTGATGGCTGAAAGGTAAGTGTGGCATGATCTGACGGCTGAAAGGTAAGTGTGGCATGATCTGACGGCTGAAAGGTAAGTGTGGCATGATCTGACGGCTGAAAGGTAAGTGTGGCATGATCTGATGGCTGAAAGGTAAGTGTGGCATGATCTGACGGCTGGACGTTCTATGTGAGTTTGTCATCTTGATGTCAGTTTTGAGAGGGAGATTGTGTGAGTTTTTTTTCACGGTTTTCTGCGTTTTAGGAAACATGTGAGATTATGTTTGTTGTAACTGTGAAGCAGCACGTCTCTTCTCCTCCTCCCCCCCCACTCCCCGTCCCCGTCCCCTCAACGCATCCCCTTCGTCCAGGCCTCTTGAACCGGCTTTCAGAGTCCAACGTGGATGCCATCAGCGCTGACGTCAGCACACTTTTTCAGGTCGGCTCTAGGCTCCTTTCTGTTTCAAGAGAAGCCTAGAGCCGCTTGCTCAGCACATGTCCTTACATGGTGTGGTGCGGTGCCGTGTCATGTGGTGTGTGGCATGGCGCGGTGCAGTGCGGTGCGGTGCGGTGTGGTGCGGTGTGGTGTGGTGCGGAGCGGTGTGGTGTGTGTGGTGAGGTTTGGTGTGGTGTGGTGTGGTTTGGCATGGTTGTTGTCCCTACCCTCAATATCCCTACCCTCCCCTCTCCTCCCTCCCCTACAGCTGCACAAGCGCTCATTAGTGGCAGCACTGGTGACAGACGAGGTCGTCACTGCGTGCACCAATGCACCCCGGGGCAATGAACAGTTACGCTCCATGCTCTCGATGCCCTTATTCTGCTCTCGCTCTCTTGTTCAAGCCCATCTTTCCCGCTGTCGCTTTCACTATTCCTTCTCCCCTGACTTTCCGTTCGCACAGTTGTTACCCTGTTTGTTTTTGCCAGGAAATTCTCTCAGTTTCGCCGCTTCAATCTGCTCTGTCCCCTCACCCACTGCTGCAGGTACGCGGCAGTGTTTGCGGCGTTCATCGCTGCAACAGCATCCACGGTTGGGATCGACTTTGCAGCCAACTTCGCCGCCACCCTTGCTGCTCGCTTCGAGGTGCGCCGATTACACTGAACCCGGCACGGCAGCTGCACTGCACTGTTTTCAGATGGCCATTCAATACAATACACAGTCAGCGGGCCTCGATATCGGTTTCGAGGTGACTTTTGAGTCGACTCAAGGTGACTTTTGAGTCGACTCAAAAGTCACGGCAGCTGCACTGTTTTCAGATGGCCATTCAATACAATACACAGTCAGCGGGCCTCGATATCGGTTTCATTAAAGCCGATCTTGATGCCCGATGGCTGAATAGCAGGTTCACTGGTTTTCACACCATCTCACCGTCATCGCCTTCTCATTAATATCGGCCACTATTCCTGAAGCATGCCACAATCCCTTGCCAACAGGCACTGTACGAAGCAGATGAAGCACTAGGTGGGCGCAACCTCAGCAAGCTGCTCTCGCAGTGGGCAAGAAAGAGGAGACAAACATATGAAGCATCATGTGTGCATCTCCCTCCGCCCGCCCTGTTGCCCATTCCACCCCCCCCTCCCCCAACAGGCCTTGTATGCAGCAGGTGAAGCATTGGGTCACCATGCTGCTCGCTCGCAATGGGAAAGGGAGGAGGAGACATCTTTCAATCATTTTGCCGCGCAAATCCATCCTTCCACCTGCCGCCCATCACCCCCCCATCAGGCGCTGTACGAAGCAGATGAAGCACTGGGTCTGCGCAATCTCACCATGCTGCTCGCCTACCTATACGTCTTCAAACTGCTTGCGCCGTGAGTCTGACCTTCCGAAAAACTTGGATGGCCTCTCCAAAGTCTTCCAGTTTGAAACTCAGTCTCATCTCAACATGATTCTCGCCTACCTCTATGTCTGAGCCAAACCAAACTACTGAGAGACCTTTCAAAGGTCAATTATTCTGGAAGCTGTAAGTCATTTTCACAAAGCATGCAAGCTTATCATCGCCTGTTTCTTGTGCCTTTACTCTGTTTGCACCGTGAGAACGGTGAGTTTGACCTAGAACGCATCATCGCGTGTAGGCTCAGAAGGTATTTTGCGGCTCCGTGTCTTGAAGGCACCTCCACCAGCACAAAAGCTATCTCTATTCTGCTCCTTTGCATATCTCCTCGTCACCCCTCCTTACAGGGAGGTGATATACTCGTTTTTAGCTCGCCTCACTGATGGGTTCAAAGAGCTCGATGTGGCTGCCATGATTCACCTTCTACAGTGTGAGTGTGTTGACTTTCAAACAATATAGAAAATGGGCTTTCCCGCTTCCGTTTCTGCGTACAGATGGGCGTGCTTTCTTTTGTGCACAGGAGGAGCGCAGGATGGACAATATATTGGTCTCCTGCGCTGCGCCTGTCTCTTTACATCCACTGCCTTGCTCTGCATGGCTAGAATTTCCTTCATTGTCGCAAGGAGACAAAACCTCCCATCTCCACCCGTGCACTCACCCGCTTGCTCAGCACTGGCGCTGCCTTTGCACCAGCACTGAGGTGACTTTTGAGTCGACTCAAAAGAGGTGACTTTTGACTTTTGAGTTGACTCAAAACTCACCACAGCAGTGGCGCTGCCTTTGTGCCAGCACTGCACCTCATATCTCACACCTCCTGTTCTCCCCACTCAACCCAATCCCACCCACCCCGCTCGCCCCACCCACCTTATTGAATCTGTTTTTTTTTTGAATTCTAAAAAAATAAATTCAGCACCCAATTCCACCCACCTCACTCGCCCCACGTTATTGCAGCATGCGGGCTTGCCCTGAGAGCCGACAACCCCGTGATGACGAACCTGGCAGTGCAGAGCACGGCACGGCAGCAGACATGCCTTTAACCCCCATTCTCCCACCCAATTTTCCCCTCCTTGTTGCAGCATGCGGGCTTGCCCTGAGAGCCGGCGACCCCGTGGCAATGAAGGAGTTCATCCTGGCTGTGCTGCAGAGCACGGCAGCAAAAACACTCGCACGCTTAATCCCCCCACCCCCACACCCCTCTTTCCACGCCTTCTTCCCATTTTCGCTACCTTGTTCCAGCGTGCGGGCTTGCCCTGAGAGCCGACAACCCCAAGGCGATGAAGGAGTTAATCCTTGCTGTGCAGAGCAAGGCAGCGGACATGCTCCCAACTCCCCGCCCCCCAAACTCCCTCCACCCCATTCAACTCCCCAACTTTTCCCCACCTTACTGCAGCATGGGGCTCTCCCTGAGAGTCGATGACCCCATGGGGATGAACGAGCTCATTTTAGCAGTGCAGTGCAGAGCAAGGCAGCAGACGTGATCCTGCTCTGCAAGCAACCACTCCCACTCCTCCCCTCCACTCCTCTCCACTCCTCTCCACTCCCCTCCACTCCTCTCCACTCCCCTCCTCTCCTCTCCACCCCCCCCCGCTCCTCCCCATGCCAGCGTGCGGCCTTGCCCTGAGAACCGATGACCCCCCCACTCTCCGCATTCCCATTCTCCTCCACTCCTCCCCACTCCTCCCTGCCCCTCCTCACTGCAGCGTGCTGGCTTGCCCTGAGAGCCGACGACCCTGTAGCAATGAAGGCGTTCATCCTGTCAGTAGCGGACAGGTGGGCTGCGGAGTCCTTACTTCCATCAAATTTTGTGGTTCTTAGAACGACGAAACAAATCCCATGGATTGGGTGAATGGGTGGAAGGAGCCTGGTCTACAGGGAGCTAGAGCGTTTTAGAGAGCCAGAGAGCCAGTTTGAACAAACTCCCTGCCCCTCGTCCCTGCCCCTCCTCACTGCAGCATGTGGCCTTGCCCTGAGAGCCGATGACCCCGTGGCAATGAAGGAGTTCGTCCTGGCCGTGCAGAGCAAGGCAGCTGACATACTCCTCAACCCCCTCCATCCCCCCATTCCCCCACCCTATTCCCGCCACCTTATTGCAGCATGCGGGCTTGGCCTGAGAGCCGAGCTGACGACCTCGTGGCGATGAAGGAGTCAATCCTGGCTGTGCAGAGCAAGGCGGCTGATATACCTCTACTTCTCCCACCACTCCCACCTACTTCTCCCACCACTCCCACACCCCTCCACTACCTACCTCCCCATCCCAGCATGTGGTCTTGCCCTGAGAGCCGATGACCCTGTGGCAATGAAGGAGTTCATCCTGGCCGTGCAGAGCAAGGCAGCAGACATACTCCTCCCCCTCTCCTCAACTCCCTTCATCCCATTCCCCCGCCCAATTTTCCTGACTCTGCTACAGCGTGCGGCCTTGCCCTGAGAGGCGATGACCCCGTGGCAATGAAGGAGTTCATCCTGGCTGTGCAGAGCAAGGCGGCTGATATAACCCCCTCCAATCCTCCCCACTCCTCCCTGCCCCTCCTCACTGCAGCGTGCGGCCTTGCCCTGAGAGGCGATGACCCCGTGGCAATGAAGGAGTTCATCCTGGCCGTGCAGAGCAAGGCGGCTGATATACGGAGGCAGGCGCAGGAGGCACAGAGTGAGGGTTCTGGTGGTGCAAAGGCAGCGCCAGTGTTGAGCAAGCGAGTGAGTGCATGGATGATGGAGGTGAGAGGTATGGCTGGGTGTGAGATGAAGGAGTTCATTCTAGCCGTGCCGAGCAAGGCAGCGGATATAAGGAAGCAAGCACAGGAGGCACAGATTGAAGCCGCTGCTGGTACTGGTGGTGGTGGTTCTGGTGCTGCTGGTGGAGCAAAGGCAGCGCCAGTGTTGAGCAAGCGGGTGAGTGCATTGGTGGGGGTGAGAGGTGTGGCGCTGAGTTGGAGGGGTTTATTGTAGCCGTGCAGAGAGCAAGGCGGTGGATATACGGAGACAGGCTCAGGAGGTGCAAAGTGAAAAGTGAAGTGAAGGCTCAGGAGGTGCAAAGTGAAAAGTGAAGTGAAGGCTCAGGAGGTGCAAAGTGAAGCCACTGCTGCTGCCACTGCCGGTGCTGGAGCAAAGGCAGCGCCAGTGTTGAGCAAGCGGGTGAGTACATACAAGTTGTGGCGATGAAGGAGTTCATTTTAGCCGTGCAGTGCTTGGCAGAGAATATACGCAGGCAGGCACAGGAGGCACAGAGTGAGAGTGCTTCTGCTGGCGCTGCTGGCAGCAAGGCAGCGGATATTCTGACTGAGGCACAGAGCGAGCGGCGCTGCTGGTGCTGCTGGCGGCAAGGCGGTGCCAGTACCGAGAAAGCGGGTGAGTGAGTGCAGAGTGGTGGGGAGGAGATGAGGGAATTCACCTTTCTTCCTCCTGGTGATGAGGGATTTCAGTGGCACTGCACATTATTTTCGCCTGAAATCACCCCTCACCCGTAACGCGCCGTGGAGTTGCCACAAGGTGCCACGGTAACTGATTTTGCTTACGCGATTCATACCGATGTAGGCAATCGCTGCGTAGCCGGTAAAATCGATAATCAAATCGCTCCCTTAGATGCTCAGCTGCGCAATGGACAACTCACCCCTCACCCCTCACCCCTCACCCCTCACCCCTGCCACCCTCCATGCCAGGTTGAGTTCATGCTCGAGACAATCACCGACATCAAGAACAACCGAGCGCCTCGTATCACCCCTTGCACTGCTTGTCGCTGTCACTTCAGCTCACCCCCCCTCTCCCCTCACCTTTCAACCCTCACCATCAGGTCGAATTCATGCTCGAGACCATCACAGACATCAAGAACAACCGAGCGCCGCGCAACGCCGGCCGCAGGGGAGGAAGTGGGACCATGGGAGGAACAGGGGGAGCAGTCATGGGGGGAGGGGGGGCGGCTGTAGGGGGAGGGGGAGGGGTTGTGGGGAAGGGGAAGGGGAAGGGGAAGGGGAAGGGGAAGGGGGCGGTGAGCGTGTTTACAAAGGCGGGAGGGGGGGGAGCAGAGGCGAGTGATGGCAGCACGGCCGTTTCCCGCCTGCAAAAGTGGCTGCTGAAGGTGAGTGCGGTGTGATGCAATGAAGTGCGGTGCAATTCGGTGTGGTGCGGTGTGATGTAGAGCAGTGGGTTGTGTCACTGTGTAGGTGTCCCTTGAATCCAACACAAATGTCAACCCGCCCCTTACTCGTCTCCCCCTTGCTCTTTCATCGGTGTGGATAAATTGTGCTCATTGCAATCATAAGTGCCCCTCCCATCCTCACACTCCATCCATAAGGAGGTGACTTTTGAGTCGACTCAAAAGTCGCTCTTTCATCGGTGTGGATAGATTGTGCTCATCGCAATCATAACCGCCCCTCCCATCCTCACACTCCATCCCTAACCCCCTTTTTCTCCCCATCTCCCCCAACCCTCTTCCCCCTCTTCTCCCCCAGCGCCCAGTCGAAATCGTTCAGCTACGATTGCTGACGTGGCAGCTCCTGATTGACCCGCACAAGCACGGCCAATGGTGGCACACCTCCTCCTCCTCCCAACCCCTCGGCTCCCTACCCGCCACGTCAGCAGCACTGGGGGGCAGCAGCGGCAGCGCCAGCCTGGCAGTCCAGCTGGCGGGGAACGCGCTGCTGGACGCTGCTGACGTGGCGGAAGCTGAGAGGCTGATGCAGCTGGCGGCGGCGCAGAGGATGAACACGGATGCACGGCGGGCGGTGTTCTGTGTGATTATGAGCGCAGAGGACTATATCGATGCCTTTGAGAAACTGCTCAGGCTGGGTCTGCCCGGGAAGCAGGTGCGTTCTTGTGCCTATGATGCTCCTAGCAGCACCACACCTGGCAGCGCCAGCACCAGCACCAACACCACAAGCAGCAGCAGCGCAGAGGATGAACACAGACGCCAGGCGGGCGGTGTTCTGTGTGATTATGAGCGCCGAGGACTATATCGATGCCTTTGAGAAACTGCTGAGACTGGGTCTACCTGGCAAGCAGGTGTGCTCTTGTGCTGTCTGCAGGAGCGACATTTCAACAAGTATTATCCCCTTCTGGCCTCCCGGCTGTGCGGCATGCTCAGAGTCACAAGTTCAGTCTGCAGTACTGCCTGCGGGACCACTACCAGCCAGCAGCTGCCAGTCTCGCCCGCCCTCCTCTCCTCCCTCCCTCTGGGTTCTTGCCTGCCTACAGGACAGGGAGATTCTGCGAGTGCTAGTGGAGTGCTGTCTGCAGGAGCGCCATTTCAGCAAGTACTATTCCTTTCTAGCCACCCGCCTGTGTGGGCACGCTCGGAGTCACAAGTTCAGTCTGCAGTACTGCCTGTGGGACCACTACCAGCAGCTCAAGCCTTAACCCCTCCTCCCTCCCTCCCTCCCTCCCTCCCTCCCTCTGCCTGCCTGCCTGCCTGCAAGACGGGGAAATCTTGCGAGTGCTAGAGGAGTGCTGTCTGCAGGAGAGGCGTTTCAACAAGTAGTATTCCCTTCTGGCCGCCCGGTTGTGCGGGCATGTTCGGAGTCACAAGTTCAGTCTGCAGTACTGCCTGTGGGACCACTGCCAGCAGCTCCCTGACATGGACCCCCGCCCTCTTATTCCACCGCACTCTTTCACACCTGTGTCTGTGTGTCCTTCTCCCCACCACCTCCACCACTACCACCACCACCACAGGACCGGGAGATTCTGAGCGCCATTTCAATAAGTACTATTCCCTCCTAGCCGGGAGGTTGTGCGGGCATGCTCGGAGTCACAAGTTCAGTCTGCAGTACTGCCTGTGGGACCACTACCAGCAGCTTCCCGACATGGACCCCTGCCGCTCCCTCACCCCCGCCACTCCCTGCACCTGGCTCATTCACCCCTCTGTGTCTTTGTGTCTTCTCCCCACCACCACCACAGGACCGGGAGATTCTGAGGGTTCTAGTGGAGTGCTGTATGCAGGAGCGGCATTTCAACAAGTACTACAGTCTCCTAGCTGGGCGGCTGTGTGGGCATGCTCGGAGCCACAAGTTCAGTCTGCAGTACTGCCTGTGGGACCACTACCAGCAGCTTCCTGACATGGACCCCCGCCGGTCCCTCACCCCCGCCACTCCCTGCACCTGGCTCATTCACCCCTCTGTGTCTTTGTGTCTTCTCCCCACCACCACCACAGGACCGGGAGATTCTGAGGGTTCTAGTGGAGTGCTGTATGCAGGAGCGGCACTTCAACAAGTACTACAGTCTCCTAGCTGGGCGGCTGTGTGGGCATGCTCGGAGCCACAAGTTCAGTCTGCAGTACTGCCTGTGGGACCACTACCAGCAGCTACCTGACATGGACCCCCGCCGCTCTCTCCACCTCGCTCAGTTTGCCGCCCAGATCGTTGGCACCCACGCGCTCTCCCTTGCATTGCTCAAGGTACTTTGCTCTTCCAATGCAGTAGCTGTGATGCGGGTGCCAAGTGCCTACCCTATGCAATCTAACCTGCCGCTCGCTGCACCTCGCTCAGTTTGCTGCCCAGATCGTTGGCACCCACGCGCTCTCCCTCGCGCTGCTCAAGGTACCGTGCAAATCCCATTCAAGCCAACCCACCACTCGCTGCCAGGCTCGCTCAGTTGGCCGCCCAGATGGTTGGCAAACACGCGCTGTCTCTGGCGTTGCTCAAGGTACCATGTGTTTCCTCTATGCAGAAGGTGTGAGGGCGCATTCCTGGCTTCGTGTCAAGAATGAGTTGGGTGTCAACCTATAACTTTGGAACGCACGTGATTGGCCCGTTGTGATTTTTGGGCCAATCGCGTGAGTTCCAAGGTTCTAGGTTGACACCAACCCAGCTTGACACAAAGCCAGGAATGCGCCCTGATGCATCCCAAATCGGCTACCAGGTGCATCCCCTAAGCGACCTAACCCAACCCACCACGCACTGCACTTCGCTCCGTTTGCCGTCTAAATTGTGCCCTACCCTCTCCTTCCTTTCCTTCCCCTCCCCCGCATGCACCCGTGCATAGCCCTGCACTTCCGCGGTGACTTCTGAGTCGACTCAAAAGTCACCTCCCACCCTCTTCCTCCTTCCCTTCCCCTCCCCCGCATGCACCCGTGCATAGCCCTGCACTTCCGCCTCTTCTTTCGTGCCCTTTCCTCCCCTTCCCCCTCCTTCCTCCTTTCCTCCCCTTTCCTCTCCCATCGTTTCCTCCCTTTCTGTCCCCCTTCCTCCCCCCTTCGCCTGCTTCTTTCTTACCCTTTCCTCCCGTTCCCCCCACTCCCCCCTCCCACCCCACTCCTTCTCCCCTCAGCCGGTGGATTTTGCAGACCCAGCAGCCATGCCCCCGCGCATAGCAACCCACTTCCGCCTCTTCTTCCTCTTCCTCCTCTCCTCCTTCCCCCCCGCCACCCTCTGGTCCCTCTTCTCCCGCATCGCCGCCCCAACCACCCTCGGGCCGCTACGAGACGGAATCCTCCTCTTCTTCGCCGCCCACCTCTCGCCACACGCGCCGTCCACGCGGCAACTGCTACAGTACATTAGGAGCGAGGGGGGGAGTGAGAATGGGGAATCTGCTGCTGGTGTGGGGAAGAAAGGGAAGGAGGAGAAGGTTCTAGAAGAGAGGTTGAGATTGGCTAAGAAAGCGATTGCAAACATTTCTGGGACCCCTTACCAGTGAATACTGTAAACTGTGAGATTGAAAAACTCTCATTTTGATTACCTGTAGAACCCTTGGACAAAGTCCTCTGGTGGCCCGACCGAGCTGCTTGTTTTGCAGTGCTAACACAGTTGCAGCAAAGTCTTCTGTGCAGCATTAGCATAGCACCATGTGATGCAATTCCCGTATCAAACAATGGCTGCTCTAGTGGTTTGCACTAGCACAGTGTTTTGCCACGGTATCAAACAAAATCCCCTGACTTCGTAAACACCAGCCTTCATTTGCTCATCTCATCCCGTTCATATTTGCTCATCCTAATGATGATTGGCATTGTTTTGTCATCTCATCTGACGCAGAGGAAAACGTGGTACGGTAGGTACGGTACTTTTCTCACACTTTGCTTTATTTATCCAGCCTGTTCTTTTGTTGGGAGGTGGGGGAAGGGAAGGTTGACAGCAGCCGCCTAAACTGTGCCAGTGACCCCAACAAACCAACTTGTGTCAAAGAGCTAAAGCTAGTTAGGCTTAGAAGCCATGGCTAGAGTAGCTTAGGAGATTAGGTTTAGGGTTGAAGGGGGATGTCGAGAGAGTTCCAAAGGAGAAAGGTGGTTCAATAAAGAGAGGAGGTACAAGGATATAGGCAAAGCAAGCAAGGTGCACCACCAAACAATGTAACACTACACTAACTACTGTTACAAGCAGTTTATATAAGAAATGTATTTCAACAACTTGTCATGAAGCACATTATTTATAATACGGTACGGTATAATGCATGTCATACATAATACAGCAACAACAAAAATTCCTAATCAAGAACCAAAGTACCAATTCTCTACGGTCTCCCTCAAACTCAAACCATTTGAGACTAGCGTGTTCCAGGTTTCATTGTTGATGGTGCCATGATTTGGTGCGTATGCTATAAAACTGCTGAACTTTGCTGATTTCAACGACCTTGTGGTTTGTTGCAGCTGCTGTGCAAATCCAATCATCGCCTGCGACTCCGCAGATGTGCATTTTTTATTTGCGTTCTTTGCTGCAAGGTCTTGAGGTGATGTAGTATTAGCCTCGATTTCTTTCTTCAGATCCGGTACACTCATAACTTCGTTAATGCAGTCGTAGGCGTAGCTTCGGTTCATGGGCGGCAGCTGGTTACCGAGGATGAGTGCATTGATGTCGAAGAGCGAGTTGACAATGAAGACTTGCGACTTGATGAACTTGGTCGCGTGCTCGGGAAAGAAACACTTCCACTTGCTCGTAGCGTCTTGGGCTGCGAGGCGTATCACGTGTACACACACAGAAAAGGAGAAGTAAAGAGACGAGGATAGGATTCGAATTAGAGCAGTGTGTTGATGCATGTAAAAACGTGTACTCCGTAGCACTTGATAAAGTCAGAATTTTCAGCTCCCAGCTGAATGAGAAACAGAAACAGCTGAATGAGCACCAGATCGTATTCAATAATGCATACACACTGAACTATGGCACACCTCGTGTTGTTGATGAAATCATGCAGTGCCACCATCCGAATAATATTCCTCTTATTTGTGTGCTTCTTCTTCCTGTCCAACGACGTTTGAGGTGTCTAAGAAGTCTTACCTCTGGCACATCTCGGGTTGCCAATAAAGTCGTGCAGTGCCGCCATCCGGATTATGGTCTTTTTGAATGTGTGCTTCTTTTTCCGGTCCAGCGCATCTGGCGAAATGGCAAATTGGGCGCGAAGGGAGGTAATCCGGGGATGGTGAGTTACGGGGTACCGGTGCTGGAAGAGAGGAAAGGAGGTGAAGGAAGGGAGGAGGGTAAGGGAAGGGCTTGGAAGGAGAGGAGGGGAGGGGCTGAACTAGCTTCGTGCACTGGATGCTTGGATGGTGAGAGTTGCAACGTGCTGTAAGCAGAGAAGATCCAAGTCACCTAGGAAGAAGCCCGAGTCTATGAGGCACTTGGTGGTGGAAGGGAAGACAGGACTACGCATGAGGGAGGAGGGGTGTGGGAGAGTGAACCTACCATCCACGAAGTGGAAGGGAGAGGGTGAAAAAACAGGTGCAGAGAGTTAGGACACACCACGGAAGAACGAGAGCCCATGATGAGGTACTTGGTGGCTGAAGAATCAGGGAAGTAGGGTTTATGGAGACTCAAACTCGCAGTGGGAAGAAGCCCAAGTCCCTTAGGCACTCGGCTGTTGAAGGGACGGAAGAGGGTTATCCATGAAAGTGGGGTGCAGGAGGGTGGGCTCACCAAGGAAGAAGCCCGAATCCATGAGGCACTTGGTGGTGGAAGGGAAGCCAGGGTTATCCATGAAAGCAAGTTGGAGAGAGTAAAAATGACCAAGGAAGAAGCCCGAGTCCATGAAGCACTTGGTGGTTGCAGGGAAGGCAGGGCAATGCATGAATGAGAGGCGAAATTCTCACCGAGGAAGAAGCCCGAGTCCATGAGGCACTTGGTGGTTTTGGCGGAGGGCACGAGGGCGGGCAGCTGGTCGCACAGAGTCACCACCGCCTCTGCTCCCGCCGACACCCCCGACAGCAGCACCTGGGACGCCGTCTTCAGGCCGCGCCGGTCGGTTACGTCTGCGGGCAGAGGCAAATAGAGGGAGATATGAGGTTATTGCAAAGCTGCACCCATCCGTCATGACCAATAGAAATCTTGGGAGGCCATTTTCAACTTTCGTTGGTCGGTAACATCTGCAGGAATGGGAAAACATGTTGGGATAGAGAGGATGGTGGAACTCTGGTTGAGTTGCTCCCACTGACACCCCCGACAGCAGCACATGTGAGTTACACAAATTGGTAGAGGTTTTACGGTACCCCACAGGTTGTATCTCGCATCTTCGTAAAAAAATGCCATTCCAACCCGAAGCGGGTACAGAAATCCTTGGTATTTGCTAGCCCACCTGTGAGAACGGCTTTGATGATATTCCAACCCAGAAGGTACACTCCCTCGCTTCCGCTCACGTTCTTGAACCCCGCGCGGCCCGCGAATCCGCCCCCATCGCAGTACACGGGCATCACTAAGTTCCAGTTGTAAAACCGCGGGTTGTCTGTCTTGTTCGTACTTAAAATTCCGCGGTATCCCTGCAAGGCCTGAATGGAACAAAAACCGGGTAGCGGAAAGGCGTGGAGACAGGTTCACTGGAGGGAAATCATTGCGAATCGCCTAATCGCGAATCGCCACCGGCAAGTGCCATACAGCAGCACTTAGGTGTCACCTCACGGGTTACTATGTTCAGGGGCTTTCATGGCAATCTTTATTCGTGCATCAGGAGAGGGGGTGAACGAGTTTCGAATGGGGAAGCTTGACAAGTGGGGACGGGGAAGCAGGAAGCGAGGTGAAACGTGAGAAACGGATATCGGGAGTTTACGCTGTTAGAGACGAGTCGAGCTAAGGGCGGGTCCAGCGCGTTCGTTTACAGTTCACCAGTCGTGGCGCAAGACGATTCCAGACGGTGCACAGCGGTTTTCAAGCTTCACCGTTTCGCACCGTGACGCAAAAAGATTAACCGCACAGAACGAGCGAAATACGAACGCGCTGGACCCACCCTAAGAGATTTCGTCTGGTCGACCTTCGAGCCGCCTTCAGAGTCGCATTTCAGTGTTGCTTGGGAGCTGGCGTTTCTTACGGGGGCTGTTCATCGAGACGTGATGGCGTTTGCACTCAGCAACTCCGAGTATGCCTACCTTTGCCCCGAATCAAATTAGCGTGCTAGGAGAGAGCGTTGTGGTTGATCGGAAGCTTACGGGAATCGAGAGTTATTAGGGAATTGAAAGTTAACGGGAATTCGGGCACTTTGGATCGGGATCTTACGTTGTTGAAAGGGTTGGTGGCTTGCAGTGCCGGTTTCGTCGAGCCATAGTGTATCTGCGTGGCGCGCCATTTGCACTCGCCGGGCGTCGTGCACCATCCGCCGAAGGGCAGAAAGACGTGCCACGAGTCCTTGCCCGCACCGGAGCCTGGCCGGAAGTAGTAGCCTGGCGGACTGAGGATAGAGAAACAGATTAACGGGGTGAATGGGGAGGGAAAAGAAAATCACTGTGTTTCGTCGAGCCGTAGTGGGGCGCGCCACTTGCACTTTGCGAGCGCCGCGCACCATCCGCCGAAGGGCAGAAAGACGTGGCACGAGTCCTTGCCCGCGCCTGGCCCTAGCCGAAAGTAGTAGCCTCGCTGAGGATAGTCGGTCAACCAAGGGAAATAGGAAAGAAAGGGGAAGGGAGAGAAGGGGCAGAGGGAAGGGAAGAGGAACAATCGCGTTTTGTCAAACCGTAGCGGATTTTTGTCGCGCGCCACTGCGCTGTTCGGGCGTCGTTCACCAGCCGCCGCACCAATGTGTCGCGGCCAACTGCGCTTTTCGAGCGCCACTGCGTGGCGTGCCGCTGCGACGTTTTTGGGTGCCAATGTGTCCCGCGCCACTGCGCTGTTCTTACGTTGTTCACCAACCGCCAAAGAGAAGGAGGCTGCGCAGTAACGCTGTCCACCATATCTTAAATCTCTTACCTTCCGTCGAGACATTTCGCGCCAAAACGGTTTCTGGGCAGCAAAGTGAACGTCAGTCCCGTCCCAGCGGAGGTGACGGGTGCTGACATCGGTTTCCCCACTTCCCCCGCCGAGGGATGAAGAAAAGCCAGGAGCATAATGCAAAGCGTCGCAGTGGCAGCGCGATTGAGAGAACGAATACTAAAGCTCGTCGTCATCTTGATGCTCACAGCAGCGAACGGCAGCGAAAATGCTGCTTCTATGTAGCGCGATGGGACGAACTAGGCGTCGCTATTGACGAGCAATCTGACTGACTGCGTTCAGCTAGCTAGTACAATCACGTCATGTGCATGTCTCTATTGTGATGATGGTATGTGTGTACCGGTAGTAAGAAACAATGCCATGTGACGGCGTATGGGTGTCATCCAGGAGAGTTGTTGTGCACAACCGACCGTGGCGGGTGAGCCTGAAAGTAAATTGCTGACCCACGATGGTGGTGAGCCAATGAGAAACGCGTGTGGCTTCGTTCTTGAGCCACCCGACCATAGCTGTTCGTACGAG